CTTCTGGGTTTTTTTTTCAAATACTGTGTATACGTTTTATATGAATTATAAAACATTATAAAACATTCACCGCGGTCTCAAACGTGTTATATTCATGTACATGTACTGGTTACTTTTAAGACACTGTATGAAAAAAACATTTGATTTTCATGTAATTGCAAAATGACGCATTAACTAAACAGAATAAAGTCTGCCCAAACTAATACTTGGTTTCCCTCTCAGAAGATCCCACCTTTCTTGCCTTCTATGAACTAACAAGTGACTTACCAGAAAGTAAACAAGCACTTAAGGCGGGGGTCATCCGAGCACTATACTGCTTCCGCGACTCCATTTCCTTTTGGACGCTTGAAGCTAATTAGCAAACAGTCCTTTGAAAACGGTATTGGTAGCAATTTTATTTCAAGTTTAAACATATTAAAGATGAAATATTAAAAGTTTTGATTTAGAAATAATTAAAGGCAATTTCCCCAAATTTGGATGCTAACGACGACTTTGTCGAAAACATCCTTGAAACTAAACTGACGTGTTACAAAGTTCGTTTTGAACAAAACCTTTTTTTACATATGTCATTCTGAGCAAATTCTCCTAAATGTTATTAGTACTATACATGTTGGCTGTTCCTCATGAGCGCTTCAACCGTCTTTGGATGAATTATTTTTCTTCAGTGATAATACATGTGTTGTTGAATAAAAAAGTTTCATCATTGCCAAACCAATTTAATTTATTCCAGTTGTTTATGTCAACTTGAAGCGATTTTGTCAATGTATGTACCGGTGATGTTAATTTCGGTCATTGCCGTCTTGAAAGCGCACGAAGTACAAAATGAAACACCTATCGTAAAATCAAAGAAAATGACTATAAGTCCATTTTACTTTAAAAACATGACACTCGAGTGAAAGGGGGGTTATTTTTTCGAGTTGTGAATACTGAGAATAAATTTATGTAACGAACGGATAAATATTAAAATAAATATACAGAAAGAAAATGCATGCTGTTTGCAGCTCTCCGCCTAAACAATCTTTACATAAATCAGAATAAATGAATAATTTTTGCAAATAAACCCCGAGGTCCGAAATGCCCGAAACAAAATTCATGCTTACCCTTGTATAATATTATACTAAAGGTATTAACTTCAAATATATAGATAATTAATATTATTAATACAACAGTAATTGTTTTAAATTAATTATAAATGAATGCCAAATGCAAAAAAGTACAGCGGTGGACAATGTTTGGCTGATCTGTTACATTTGATGAATCTGACAACTTCTAAAATTGTCAAAGTATCTGATAATAAAACCGACAATGGTGAATATAGAAAAGAAAAAAAAGTGAAAAACTATACAGAAAAAAAGTTTCAGATGACTGATTAATAAACAAAAAGTGCGCATGTGTATTTTCTTTTTCAGTCCTGTCTTAGTCGTGATAAAAATTTCAAAGACGTCATCGCATAAGAATGTAAATATAAAATCTCAGGACTATAAACAATCAAATGATTTTTTTAAAATTCTAATTAATAAGCTTGAAAATAATTGTACATGTATAATATTTTTTTATAAAATAGAAATTTGGGTGTATTTATTACATTGTAGAAAGAATGAGCTGTAGTAGTCGATAAAAATGTGTTTATTGGCAGAAAATTCAAGCAATGTAAACATTATTAAAATGGAGTAACATGATATGTTACTTCAACGATCGTGTTTCAAGACAATTTTATCAGTTTAGTCCAGTCTTACCTTAACTACATAAAATATGGAGAAACCGAACATTGATCATGCTCAGAAGTTTAGAATCGGAGCAGACACGACCTCTAAAATCATCAGAGATGAGATCAGGTGCCCTGAAGGAAGAATCACCCCCTGTCGTCTGGTCTCACCCGCCGTGTGCTCCTTGTCATCATCTAGTACCAATTGATCATTCAATGGTCGTAAAATGTGTATGTAAAACGTCAGTCAACATTAGACTCAATTATATACATGTACATAAACTCATTAAACAAAGAAACGCATAGTAGGAACAATGCCATAAAAAATGTATGATAATTTTGCCATACTTTTTTTTTAGATGGATATGATGCATTCGAGTGTTCAAATGCGTGATTTTTGAATGAAATTGTTAACTTTACAGCTATTCTACAGGTCTCACAGACAAAAAGACCTGATTTTGCAAAATCCCCCCCCCCCCAAATTTTGATCTTAATTTTCATTTCTGGTTTCTGATGCCATTCCTTCAGGTGCAAAGGGGCTATCAAAAGGGGGGTTTCGATGTTTTGAATATGATTTTATCTGAAAATTGACGCTTTCTAAAAATGCTGCATCTGAATGTTGCATAGCACAAAAAGGAAAATGGGCGGCTTGAAACAAGGGTACCACAATCTACCATTGCAAGAGGTTTTAATGTTACGCACAGCGCCATATCTAACCTATAAAACATAAACCATTAACATCGAACAATAATAAGTAAGACATTTTTAAGAAAACGGAGCAAAAATTGAATATCTAGTCTGATTTGTTACGCCTTGAATTTTTGAACGTTTTTACGTTTAAACGACATATGCAATAACGTCAGAAAAGTATATTTTGACGTTACAAAATCTGCCCCAATTCTGTGCGCGACGTCTTGTTCGTAAAAAATACGGTAGACTACGTGTAACATCAGCAGCATAGCAGCACTTCAGAGGATTAAGTAAATTGCATGAATGTAACACAATGTCGTCATTTAAAGCACTAGCTATCCCCGAACTGCACAGATCATCTAACAAGGCCGTTTTCAGTTGACTACAAATTATTGCAGTATTTATGCCTTTGTTCCGACCCCACAACACCCCAAATATCGACTTCAAAGATCTCAGATAAATAGAGTACGAACAAAGCATCACCGCTGAACATTTTGGTTTAGTTAATGGTCCAGAATGTTTATCAGAAAGCCTCTTATGAGTTTAAGAGTGCTAATGTAATGAACGTTAGACAGATAACTGCCTCCAGGACGTTAAAAAAGTTGGTGATGGTAGTGTAATGATATGGAAAACGGTATTATATGAATGCAAGACTGATTTGGTTCGAATTCAAAGATACTCTAACCATGTTCTACCTACACATGCCTATTCAATTTTGCCGAATCCTAGAGCCGTATTTCAACCTCACAATAAACAGCCACATAAGGCTCGTTTCACACTCCCATTCTTGCTAAGCAACCTGTTTCTGCCACAGTCATCTAAATCGCCAGATTTAAAATAAATTAAGCAGCATTGGACAAAATGGATTGACATGATTTGCCAAAGACAATCGCATCCCTAGACTCCGCAACAGCTGTCCAAAGCTCTACATTTGGAGTGGGAGAGTATTTCTATACAGTTTTTATAACACACATTTGCTTCCATTAGATGCCGTTTGTGGCTATCATTTGTATCTCCGTGGCCATACCAGATATTGATCTTTAATGACCTTAAACTGACTAGGATTTTAAAATTCTTGAGTAGTTATGACATTTAGATAGTATTCCTGTTGTTAAACAATCTTTATGTCAATGTTCTACTATGCGTTTCTTTTTTTTTTTTTTTTTTTTTTGAAGAGTATACTAGGGTTTGTGATACCTTTAAAATTTTGTTTTTATACAAATCTATACAGAAAAAAGTCTAACATTTTTAATGTTTTCCTGAGCGGGCATAAAAAATCGATGTTGGACCGGTGAGTGAGATGTTGGACCGCTCGGAGAGATGTTGGACCGCTTACGTCACAGAATGGGCGGAGCTTAATCTCATATTCATTCTTTGGTGTTAAACAGTGACAGATCTAATGTTACATTACGGAATATCGTACAAAATACATGTATGTAAAAAAAATGTAAATCTAAATTAAAAATGAAAGGTATAACAAAACATTTATTGACAGAGTTCTCGGGCAAAATGCGTTTTGTCGGACCCTCGAACCAAACTGTCTGCCTTCGGCCTAACGGCCTCAGGCAGACAGACTGTTCCAAAGTTTTACGGTTTAAAACTATTATAGGACATTGTTTTACAAACTGGTATACATAAGTTATTACAGACCTTAGGTTGTAACGGCCTCAGGCAGAACAGTTTCAAGTTCAACTCTAAACTTTTTGCCCTCGAACTCAGTCAATAAATGTATAATATTGACTGGATTTGAGGTGCAATATGCGTTTTGTCGGGTCCAAGAACCAACTTGATTGGTGCAAGGGTCGATAAAACACATTTTGCCTGACAACACATTCAATAACTGTCCGAAATATCTGAATTTGGGCTTTTTCGCGATTTTGATATTCTGCGTGCTAGGAAAACCTTAAAAACCGCACAGTTACGAAAACTGAAAAATGATTATCGAGATTTGCTACCGAATTAATTACCGAACTAACATTTAATTTTATTAATCATTTAATTTGGTTGGTAGAGAGGTAGAGGGCAAAACTAAAATCAAATTCTTTTTAGTACATGAATGTGTCTTCTAATGTTCATATTCAAACGGATTTATGTTTTAATTAAAATACTGGGGTAGTTTGGAACTTCTGTGCCCTGTTTTTGTTTTTGATAATTGATTAGACTTTGATTTTTTCTTCATTTTTATTCTATTTTTAAAGACTTAAGAATATACTGCATGGATGCAATACGGTAGGGGAAAAATTGAACTTAAAATATTTATAATTACTTCTACTTCTTTTTTAAATCTAAGTTTAAAAATAAATATATGATGAATAAGATATTACTTTGTTTTTAAATCCTTTGCATTTTATAGGAAACCTTGGTATTTTTTTTTCTACATAATCACTTAAAAGATTTGAAATCACATTAAAAAGGTTCTAGCATAATTTTAAGACGAATAGATATTATTCTTTCTCGACATATATACACTTCTTTCTTCTTCGTTGAATTTTAAAAACTAGACTTTAATGATCATTAATATTAATAATTTAATTTAAATAAACAAATAACGGGTTTGGGTCTTCCTCTTGCAAATCTCCGCGTTGATTTCAAGTTGTGTCACGTGACCTCTTTATACCAACAGCTTTCATATGTGTGGCTGCAGTATTTGATGTTAGTCATTTAATGGTCAGACGTTCTAAAAGAAATACATAAAGTATGTGGGAGAAATTAATATTGGTTTGTGTAGTGTCAATACTGATTGCAAACAATTTAGGTGAGTACATTTTATTTTATTGGAGTCGATTATTGAGAAAATTTATTTGATAATGATATTATCCATGTCGAAAGTTTTCCTTACTTACATATATTAACTTATATATCACTTACTTTTAAAAATATTTTTTATATTATTTTTTTTAATGGATAAACAAAATTAGAAATTAAAGTGAAATTCTTGACTGAAAATGAAATTTGTATTCCCCAACTAGCCTCAATTTGCGCTTTTATTACAAGCATGATAGAAGTTAATTTGAAGGCAACTCATGCGTATATTTTGAAAATGCAAATCAGTAGTACTATAATGTAGTCTATTGTTAATTATAGGTAAATCTAATTTGACAATGGTAAATAATTTACATAGCATTAAAAATGCGGTAGAGACGTTTGTTAAATATGGGAACCACCAATATAAAAACTGTCCTAATTAGCATCTGCCATTAATTCTTTAAAGGGGGGTAGGAAGCTACTGAGTGCGTTATATGTTAGTACTCTGTGGACGGAAGTCTCTATACAAATCAGATAATGATATCAACCCAGACTCAAGTAGAACAGTAAAGAAAAGCGGGGGGAGAGTAGTATTTACGCTTCTAAAGGATTAGTACCCCCGAAAAGATTTAGGAAAATTGTAATAATAGGTCACGAATTCGTGTGTCAGACTGCATTCTGAGTCAAATCTTCCTCTTTCTGTATATTTACATTTCTTTTTCCATATAATTATGTATCACAATTGTTTAATCTATTTATCCTTGTCCTCCTTATAAGCATCACGCCCAATTTGTTAAGAACATGTAATACTACGGTCATGTAATGACACTGACAAAGGAAATGCAATAAAATACCTAGTAGATGAAAAAGTGTCCTTTTCCCTCTTGACGATGCATTTTGCTAATTAACTATGAATATCGTATTTGAGTTGGGTTGTCCTTGCTCAGACAGATGTTCAGATACCCCCACCCAACCCCCAACCCCCCTTCACGGTTATATTAAGGAAAGTTTTGCCTATTCCATATCATAATATCTCTTGTTGTATGAATATCATAATGCATATAAATCTTATTTATTTACCGGGGTATTCATATACTCCATAAAATTTTAATATTACTAGGACAAAATTTTTACATTTTTTTCTATTCCATAGACACTATCTGTTATTTTATTTTACAAATGCGTACATTCCAAAACCATCCAGGTTGATTTTATTTTCTACTGGTTATGTAAACCAAAAGGTATAAAATGACAAAAGCTTGATTGTTTTACAAATAAACAGCGAGAACGTTACAATAAATTCATTATAGACATTTTTTAAAATTATTTTCAAAATAATGTTTTAAATTTTTTAAACCACATTAATATATTTTCCTAATAATGTTTTTTTTCTTAATTTTTAAAAGCTATTTTAGTGACCTTGTATACGTTTCTAGATTTCTAGTAAGATAACCGTTAATTATAATTTGGAAAACTTTTTCACGTTTAGAGGTGTTTTCCTGTTATAAGTAGATCGCCTTTTTTAATTCAAACAAGTCAATTTGTTCGATACTTATAGCAGTACTGATAAAAATGTAATTTCAGACATTCAGGCGACTGAATGTCTCCACAATACTTAGACTTTGTAAACAGGGGATATGCCTCAATACTCAAATGTTTTCTTTTCTTGTGCCCCAGAAGTTTTCTTTCCTCTTAATAATGTAACATGGCTTGCAATCCTTTAAATACATTGACTCTCCTTCTCTCAATGGTGTGATATAAATCTTCCAAATCATAAATACGACAGTAAAATACATGTGTATAAATATATGAAATTAAGTCACGTCTTTGGTCGTGTTTTTGAATCTGCAAAAACTTAAAAGAAGCTTTTACTGCATTTCATATCTTTTTTATTATTAACATACATGTAGCATATTTCATTAAGAAATTAATGTTTAAATAAAATGCGTAGTTGAACACGATTGACCTAGGCATACAGTTGTAAATTCTATCAGGCAAATTGTTTTTGTTCTCACATTTCTGTATTGGTTTTTCTTCTCACAAGAAAAAAAAAGGTGCACACACCGCAACTTAACAAGTCTCTAAATCTCAATGACAGGAGGAATTTTTACACGATTAATTTATATTACATATATACAGTGTATGTATTTCAAAGTCAGTTCAAAACACCTGCAAGGCCTTTGCAAAAGTGATCATCTGAAACCACCCGTCGTAAAATTCCTCCCTGTTTCTCTGGACATTTTTTTCTTCAAACATCATTTTTCTTTGTATATCAAGGCTTAATTTTATGTTAGACAGTAAAATAATTTTTTACACCAGTAGGATATCCTATAAAGCAGGGATGGGCGTAGCTGCATGGGTTTTAAAAAGGGGAGGAGAGCAGACAGGGAAAATATTTTTATCTTAACAAAAAAAGACAGTTATAACAAGCAAATTCAAAGAATTGTGGTCCCCCGCTTTCGGCGTCTTTGTGGGTGAGATGTTATTTTTTATGATATATTGTGTCTAATATGAACATTCTATTACATTGTATATGTCATTTATATAGAAAGTATCATTGGAGTTGATTTTTTTGAAGGATGAAAACCCTAATCCTGACCGTTAAAAAGTTATGGCCAAAATTAAAGTTTTTTAAAAGTAGGTCAACTTCAAGGTCAAGATCAAAGGGTCAAAGTTGTTGATATCCAATGAAAGGTCTTCTCACAAGGATTACATATGTGAAGTACGAAATCCCTAGCCCTTACCGTTCAAAAGTTATGGTCAAGGTTAAAGTTTTTTCAGAAGTACGTAAATATTTAAGGTCAAGGTCAAAAGTTCAAAGTTGTTGATATCCAATTAAAGGTCTTGCCACAAAGAATATATATGTGAAATATGAAAGTCATAGTATCTACATTCAAAAGTTATGGCCAAAGTAAAAGTTTGGAATTTTTGTATAAAAGTGGGTCAAACTCCAAGGTCAAGGTCAAAAGGTCAAATTTGGTGGTATCCAAAGAAATGTTTTGTCACAAGGAATGCACATGTGAAATATGAAAGTCATAGCTCCACTAAATCAAAAGTTATGGGCAAGGTTAAAGTTTTTGTGACTGACAGACTGACGGACAGACTGACAGACGGACAGACGAATGAAATTTAATGTCCCCTCGCTTTCGCGAAAGCGAGGGACAAAAAGAGGAAAATTATATTTCCAAACTCGATCCTCTTTCGGTTCGATGGACAGCACGATATCATTAATTAATGATAAAATGGTGTCTATTTTCGACAAATTACGAGTAAGCTCTTTTATCAATTTAGATTTCACCAAATGCTATAAAAAGTAAATTTGGTGTAAAATAACTTATTTTCTTGTCTTCTTTAATTTTATTAAAGAAATACTAGTAATTTGTGCTCGGAAATTGATGAACAACATGCTCAGCAATGCAAAAAGAAAAAATAAATGCGCATTCATTTATTAAATACAGTTTTCAATTCTGGCTTTTACAGTCCAGTCCACGCTGACCTGTTCTCCGCCGTGGACGAGGGTGCACCGTGGCTGTTACCTTTTTAAGAAGGATCTGGTCACGTGGTACGAGGCCAGGCAGACCTGTCAAAAAGAGGGGGGTTACTTGGCCTCCATGTCCAGTAAAGCAGAAACGGTAACGTGATTTATTGGATTAGGAATGAATGTACATGTCCTATATCTTCTGTTCATCCGTCCTTCTGATTTCATTTGTCTGGAACATTTTTACGATTAAATTGTCTCCCCTCATGGCCCATTTTTTAATTTTTTGGTGCCTGTTCGTTTTTAGCTCATCTGAGCTGAAGGCTCAAGTGAGCTTTTCTGATCACATTTTTTTCCGTCGTCCGTCCGCCTGTCTGTCCGTCCGTCTGTAAACTTTTCACATTTTCGACTTCTTCTCAAGAACCACTGGGCCAAATTTGACCAAACTTGATACAAAGCATTCTTGGGTAAAGGGGAATTTGAATTGTTAAAATGAAGGGCCAAGTCCCCTTACAAGGGGAGATAATCAAGAAAAGACAAAGATAAGGTGGGGTCATTAAAAAATCTTCTTCTCAAGAACCACTGGGCCAGAAAAGCTGAAACTTATGTGGAAGCTCCTGGAACAGTGTACATTTCAAATTGTCTAAATTATGATCAGTGGGGTAGGGTGGGGTCACAATATGTATTACAAGGGGGAAATCTGGTAAAGAACAGCATGGTCAAAGCTTCTCAAGTGAGTGATGTGGCCCATGGGCCTCTTATTATATTACTTATACTTTTTATACGGTATACTAACTATACTTATATACTTAAATGTGCCCTATACAACCCTTAAATTTCATAATCCTGCTTTATCTTGTATACAAAAGCAAATTCGTGTACGTTATTATATAATACGTGTTATTTCAATTGACCCGAGAAGCCCGAGAAGTCGGAAAAAAATAAAGCATGTTTAAGAATAGGGAGATGAACATATCACTCTTTGATCGAGAGAATAATAACCTTTGGTTAGTTTGAGTTTCTGGCGTTTCATGAACAGTTCGTAGCCGAGCTAGCATCACGATTTCTTCATAGAAACAACGTTTGTAAACAAAATAAATTAAAGTAAAAATATTTCCCGCATTTATATATATACAGCGTGAGTAAAATGCCGACATTTGATCCTACCTCCACCCCCAATATTAGACAGTTAACTCACGAAGGAATTTTAATAGATGTTTATGTAATACTCATTTCAAAAGAAAAGTTTGTAAATGTAAGAATATAGATCTAGAATAATCCTTAAAATTAATGATTGATTAATAATATTTTATATCTCGATTAAAAAGTGATATGTTCATCTTTGGATTCTTAAACAGGCTTTATTTTTTCCCGACTTCACCGGAATATTGTTCAGTAACAATTTAACACATATTATTGTGTCCAAGTTGCAACTGTGACATTTTTCACAGGATGAAGTTAATTGACTGAGGTTGCGTTTAGTTGCACGTTCTGTGAAGTTAATTAATTGACTAACGTTGTGGTAAGGTACGGATTGTGTGACGTTAATTGACTGAGGTTGTGTATAAGTACGGGTCCTGCTAAGTTATTTGACTGAGGTTGTGTTTAGGTACAGGTTCTGTTAAGTTAATTGACTGCGCTGATATGTAGGTACGGATTCTGTGAAGTTATTTGACTGAGGTTATGTTAAGGTACAGGTTCTGTTAAGTTAATTGACTGCGCTGATATGTAGGTACGGATTCTGTGAAGTTATTTGACTGAGGTTGTGTTTAGGTACGGGTTCTGTTAAGTTAATTGACTGCGCTGATATGTAGGTACGGATTCTGTGAAGTTATTTGACTGAGGTTGTGTTAAGGTACAGGTTCTGTTAAGTTAATTGACTGCGCTGATATGTAGGTACGGATTTTGTGAAGTTAATTGACTGAGGTTGTGTATAGGTACGGGTTCTGTTAAGTTATTTGACAGAGGTTGTGTATAGGTACGAAATCTGTGAAGTTAATTGACTGAGGTTGTGTTTAGGTACGGGTTCTGTTAAGTTATTTGACAGAGGTTTTGTATAGGTACGAAATCTGTGAAGTTAATTGAGTGAGGTTGTGTTTAGGTATGGATTCTGTGAAGTTAATTGAGTGAGGTTGTGTTTAGGTATGGATTCTGTGAAGTTAATTGACTGAGGTTGTTTTTAGGTGCAGGTTCTGTGAAGTTAATTGACTGAGGTTGTGTTTAGGTGCAGGTTTTGTGAAGTTAATTGACTGAGGTTTAAAGTCATTTCGTAAGTTCAATGGTCGTTACAATGACCTTTCCCGTTGTCAGCAAATACAATTTATCATTGAGTCAAATGCTGACTGACGTTTTTCATACTTATTGTTAGTCCATTATTTATACACTGAATTGACGACGATATTTCCCGAACATGAAAAGGAGCACACGGCGGGTGAGACCGGTCGGCAGGGGAAGCTCACTCTTCCATGGCACCTGATCCCACCTCTGATGTTTTGGAGGTCTGTGTTTGCTCTGCTCCTATTTTGTATTGTTTTTTTTTTTTTGGACCTTTGTTCTTGAATACTGTTCATTATCTTCATATTTTTCATTGTGTTTAGGTATGAGTTCTGTGAAGTTGATTTACAGGGGTTGTGTGTAGGTATCGTGTCTAGTAAGTTAATTGACTGAGGTGGAGTTTAAGAATGGTTTCTAGTAAGTTAATTCACTGAGGTTTTGTGTAGTTGCGATTGTGTATAAGTACGGGATTTCTTAAGTAAATAGATACGATTGTATATAGGTACGGGTTCTGCTAAGTTATTGTTTTTCATACTAATTCTTAGGCCATTATATACACACTGAACTGTCAACGGATTTTTTTTTTCGTTTTTTTTCTAATCATGACAAGGAGCACACGTCAGGGGATGTTTTGGAGGTCTGTGTTTGCTCTGCTCCAGTTTTTTATTGTGTGATGGAATTTTGAGCTTGAACGATGGATATGGAGATAACGAACAGTATTCAATCTTAAAGTGCATAAAACAATACAAAATAAGAGCAGAGCAAACACGGACCCCCGGAACAGGTGCCATGGAGGAGTGAACATCCCTTGCATACTGTTTGTTATCTCCATATATTTCGTAATACAGATTTGTTTTTGTTTTTGTCTTCCGCTTTTACTGAAAATGGAGAATATTAACTTCATAGAACCCTTACCTACACACAACCCCAGTCAATTACCTTACTAGAGACCATTTCTAAACACAACCTCAATTAATTAACTTTCTAGAACCCTTACCTAAAGACAGCCTGAGTCAATCAACTTCACAGAATCCGTATCTAAACACAACCTCAGTTTTAACCATTCAATACCCATTTTACTTAATGATAAATTGTATTTGCTGACAAGATCATTGTATCAACCATAGAAATTACGAAATGATGACTTTAAACGAAATTATTGATATTCTTGTTTCACCAATTTGTCAATATTTACCCAATATAGAAATTGTTCATACATACTTTCTCTCGCGCATCGAATCATCTTTAATCAACTTTAGAGATATATATCCCGTATGCAGGTGAAGTTAACTGACTGAGGTTGTGTTTAGCTACAGATTCTGTGAAGTTAATTGACTGAGGTTGTGTTTAGGTACGGGTTCTGTTAAGTTAATTGACTAAGGTTGTGTTTAGGTACGGGTTCTGTTAAGTTAATTGACTGCGCTGATATGTAGGTACGGATTCTGTGAAGTTAATTGACTGAGGTTGTGTTTAGGTACGGGTTCTGTTAAGTTAATTGACTGAGGTTGTGTTTAGGTACGGGTTCTGTTAAGTTAATTGACTAAGGTTGTGTTTAGGTACGGGTTCTGTTAAGTTAATTGACTGTGGTTGTGTTTAGGTACGGGTTCTGTGAGATTTATTGACTGAGGTTGTGTTTAGGTGCAGGTTCTGTGAAGTTCATTGACTGAGGTTGTCTTTAGATACAGGTTCTGTGAAATTAATTGACTGAGATCGTGTATAGGTACGGGTTCTGTTAAGTTATATTTGACTGAGGTTGTGTTTAGGTACGGGTTCTGTGAAATTAATTGACTGAGATCGTGTATAGGTACGGGTTCTGTTAAGTTATATTTGACTGAGGTTGTGTTTAGGTACGGGTTCTGTTAAGTTAATTGACTGTGGTTGTGTTTAGCAACGGATTCTTTGAAGTTAATTGACTGAGGTATGTCTTTAGGTACGGGTTCTGTGAAGTTAATTGACTGAAGTTTATGTTTAGGTACGAGTTCTGTGAAGTTAACTGACGGAGGTTTATGTTTAGGTACGAGTTCTGTGAAGTTAATTGACTGAGGTTGTGTTTAGTACGGGTTCTGTGAGATTTATTGACTGAGGTTGTGTTTAGGTACGGATTCTGTGAAGTTAATTGACTGAGGTTGTGTATATGTGCGGATTCTGTGAAATTTATTGACTGAGGTTTGTGTTTAGGTACGGATTCTGTGATTCACATGTAATTTACCAAGCTTGTTCATAGGTATGGGTTCTGCTCTAAACTTATTGACTGCGGTTGTGTTTAGGTATGGTTTCTGTTAATTTATTGCCTAAGGTTGAGTATACGTACGTATTATGCTGTTACATGTAACAGACTGGGTTTTTGTAGGTACGGGTTATTCTAGGTTACATGTAATAGACTGAGGTTTTTTGTAGGTACGGGTTATTCTAGGTTACATGTAATAGACTGAGGTTTTTTGTAGGTACGGGTTATTCTAGGTTACATGTAATAGACTGAGGTTTTTTGTAGGTACGGGTTCTACTAAATATTCACCCTCTGATCACGACCATGTCTATGAGGCAGTGGTGGCTTGGGCTCTCCCTCAACAAAAAAATCGCCAAATGGAAATGGGAAGACGGAACTGACCTTCAGACGACGGTCATGTAAGTACCAATAAAGAAAACAATATGTGTACCAAAGACATGCTTATTTATATGCTTTAGTCAGGAAAAATTGTTTCTAATGTATAATCAGGTGATAAACAATAAATAATAGTCTTAGTGTCCTTGCAGTGCTTGGAAACCCGGTGAGCCTAACAACTCTTTGAGGAAAGAAGAGTGTGGAGAAATGGATATTGCAGGCAAGCTAAACGACCAAAAGTGTGACAAGTTAAACCCCTTCATCTGTGAGCAATATCCTCGTAAGTATACATACAACTTAATCTTCTATACATTCTTTATCTAATTGGATTTACTACGAGATGCCCGGTCAGTGAATTTCCTTGATACATTGTACCTCGAATGTAAAATGAAGTTAGGTCAAAAAACAGGTTTTGGTGGATTTTCTGCTTTGATTTCTTCCCAAAGAAATTCATTGGATGATAAGATCTGAACTCTGAAAAAATTATTATACTGTTAGTCTCATGCAGAAATTTGTCATAATTAATATCTAAACATAAAATAATTCAAGAAATCTGCGCAATTTTCTACCGGTAGATAGAAAAGAAGATGTTTCCGCGGAATTATGACTCCGTGGAATTTTTTTTAAAAAAGTAATTGACTGACTTGTTACTGTCCACAGCAACAGTCCCACCTCCTGCCACCACCACGAGTTCCTCAGAAATCACCAGCCTTCAAACCACAGCGGCGACAGAGAACCATATCCACACAGTCAAAACTACCACATTCTTCAACCTGAATCAGGCCTTTACAGATGATCCGACGCACGAAGAACCATCAACAACAGACCAGAACATTGCGGCCTCGACATTAGTAATCAAGACAACAAGGGATGACAAGAAAGAGTACACAGAACACCATCTTAGTGATTCACAGACTGATTCAAAAATGACACCAGAACCGTCAAGTATTGTGAAAAATACCCCAAGACCTTCACCCACTTATCCTAGAACGTCAATGCTCAACGTATCGAACCAACACAATACATCCATGGCGTCAACTCAGTTCCATAAAACACAACATTCCTCAAGTACATCGAAAACAACTGGAAACCAAGATAAAAATGGGTGTCCAGCCCTGGAAGCCTACGATATTTCCTGGCCTAGAGCAAGGAATGGAGAGGTGGTTAGCCGTCAATGTAAAACTGGACCTGGCAAGTACATTTTGTACATGTAATTCTAAATGACTGTGCTATCTTTATTCCAGATGGGGTGATGATTTATTAATTTTACCTAATGTACATATATCATCATGATGATTGTTTGTTTGTTGTTTTAGGGTTTGCCACCTGGAAGTGCGATGATGTAAGAGCAGAATGGATGGGAAGACCTTCTATAGAAGACTGTGTGTCTAAAAATGTACGGATCGAATCTTGAATTTAGTTATTATATTTCACCCTATTTGTCTTATAATAAAAACATATTTTCCCTCTATCTATTTGAAGTTAATGAGAATCCTGAATCAGAAATTGATTACAATGGAGGATGTGTCCCAGCTTACAGCAGACTTAGTGGACACTCTAGACGCCAGCAAAAGAACAGTAGCAGACATTGTCACAACAACTCGTGTGCTTAATTCCATCTCAGACCTAAAACCAAAGGATGAAGAGGAATTCAGAAATTTTGCTCAAGTAATTAAGCTTTATTTAAAGTTTTAGCTTCCTGATAAACTATCATTATAAATTAAGGGACAAAGTGATATATTGGTGTCATCTTTGTAGGACACAATATCGATAGGAAGTCTGCTGATCAAGCAGACGAGAGATGCCTCGGATCTGTCAGCGGATGATAAAAAAAGAGTGGCCTCCGTCATCTTGTCGGCTGTTGAGGACGCAGCCAGCAAACTTCTGGATTCCATGGACAAACCCATGGCGTTCGAAACTAAATCACATACAATATGTAAGAAACACCTTCTCCGTACAGTTGAATCACTGTGTTGTTTATAAAATGTTCAATGTTTCTGAGCTATAATTGTATTTTCTTTCACAGTGGCAATGTTCCACGTCTTGGACTCTAAATCCGCCAATGACCTGAGGTTCAATAGTGGAGATACAGAAACAGATTTCCTTGTTCCCTCACATACAATACGACATTATAACATAGGTACAACACACTCATTTCATCATTGTCCATTATCGTTGCTCAGAATCCTCCATTATACATCTCTCTGTGACCTGGTAATATTTTTCAGACGGTTTGACAAAAGTGGTGTTCTTGAAGCACTTTAATGGCGCCGATTTACTTCCTGTTCCTGATATAAACTACACTGTCCTCAAAGACATCCTCAGCGCATCTATTCCTGGTTTTGATGTCAACAACCTGCAAGATCCGGTGACATTTACCATGAAACTAGAAAAGAGCAGGTTTTCTGGATCTTCCATAGCAACACCGCTCTGCTCCTTCTGGAACTTTTCAAAAGGGTAATAAAAATATTTGGTAAACAATTTATTTATTTGCCTTTAACCATGGTGATTGCATTTTGTTGGTTTTATTATCACGGTGTCCTGTTTGTCTATCAATTTGCCCATTTATTACAAATCTTGTCAAAGACTTACCGGTGAAAATCAGACTTAAGCTTTTTTAAAATCATTTCCCCAAAAGTTGAATAAGAATGTTTTGAATAAATACAGTCTGAAAATTAGTACTGGCAAGTTAAGATCGCTTGTCAAAGGGATGCTGAAATTATTCCTAATACTTGGAAAACAGGAAAAATAAATGAACCCTTTAGTACCTTTCGGTGTTTCCAGAAAGAGTCCAGAAACTTTCATGACAAAACTGTCATAACAAAAATTACATGGCTACTGATCATGACCACTAAGAAGTCAAAGGCTTGACAAGGTTGTAACTTAAACCCTGTAATCTCTTGATGAGTATTATTCCAAAGTTCAGTAGTTGCTGCCTTACGACCCGACGTCATGGAGAATAAGAGGTTGATAGTATTTATGTTGCTAATCAGAATAATGAATGCATATATCTTGATGCAACAACATTTAAGTTTATCTGTTACGACCTGGAGTGGGATCACAGAGGGGACAAATCAGATAGCTGCTGGAAAATATGAAAAGTGGAACGTCTTTTCTGTATTTGCAGAGAAGTTGGAGATTGGTCACAAGACGGGTGCTCGTTGAGGGACATGAACAGTACACACGTCACGTGTCAGTGTGACCACCTCACAAACTTCGCCATTCTGATGGACGTGTCGGGAGTCGAGGTAAAAAAGCCATTGGATGTTTTGAATAAAGCTCATTTTAATTTTGTTGGAACTGTCGAGAGCTAGAGTTCGTTAAACATTTACATGTATATTTATCATTCCTGTTCATCTTGCATACAGCTGGGGTACGAGCACGTCATGTCGCTGACATTTATAAGTTACATTGGGTGCATTGTCTCCATCATATTCCTCGCCACCAGTTGGTTAACCTTTCAATGTCTAGGGTAAGGGGATATCTTACAATGAATTCCAAATTCTTTTTTAACGTTTCATAAAACGAAAAAAAAAATGTTTCCTCAATCTTTTGCTGTCGTAGCAGGATTTCTTTCCTAGACAAAAGGTTCCAAGTTTCTTGGGTACCTTCACTTTTCTCCTATGTTAGCTGTTTATATATTAATGTATCATCACTATAAATATTTTTTCGAAGGTCGTTACAAGGCGAGAGGAACTCCATTCACAAGAATCTTGTGTTTTGTCTGTTCGTAGCAGAGGTCATCTTTTTAATCGGCATCGGAAGAACGGAACAAAAGGTGTGAGGCTCTAGATAAAGCTTATTTATATTAATACTTCCGAATACTTCAAACAACTTATGATGCATTTTTCTTAAGCGGTAGTTTACACATGTATGTCTAGATATTCTTTGATTAATTTTCATCATAACAAGTTTTAATAAACAACATCTTGACAAACGCCACCTGCTGGAGTAATTCTCCTCTTTGCTTTTCTCTCAAGGTCACTTGTGCCGCCACGGCACTGCTTCTTCACTTCTTTTTCCTGTCCGCCTTCACGTGGATGTTGATGGAAGGAATTCACATTGTAGTTATGCTGGTGCAAGTGTTTGATGCGGCCAAGTCAAGGCTGAAATATTATTATCTTGTAGGTTATGGTCAGTATCAACTATGTTCAATATATTTCACAAAATTGTATCAGTCAACGCCACACCTCATGTTTCATTTTTTAAAAACTAAAGTCTTCTAGATACTTCGCATCTTAGCGGTTTCTTGTAGATTTGAAGACTTAAATTTTATTGAATCAGCAAATGATAGATAAGGCTAATAAAATATTCAGAGAGTATGGTACTTTACTTTGAATTCCTGAAGATATATTTTTTACTCTATAAAGAATTGACGTTTTATTTGTATTAAATATCTTAGCAATTGTTTCGATTTTTTTTTTATCAAACATAAGAAAAAATAGAGCGGAAATACAAAAATAGATAAAAGTTATATACTCTTTTCTTAATTTATGACAGACTTAATATAAATAAACTGAATTCGGAATTTCTTGTGTGCATCTTTGTATGAACATTTCTAAATTAAAAGATGCAAGGGAAACGTCATACTCAGTGCCATTAAGGATAAGCGAATATATCAATTAATTTACTCTGATTTATTGTATAAAACACCTGAACAAAATTATTTGAAAATTAAATCACAGGGTGACATTGGCGATTTTACTGATTTTAGTAATATCATTGTTTCCAAAGAAATTCAAATGCAAACAAAGTCTATGACGTATGAAAAATCCTGAAGCCGGATACAAGTGTTTGCCATTGTTAAAACTGCTGAAATTCAATATCAGGAAATAAACAATCTTGAAGTAAAACGTTTGTTTTCAAGGATATCGTTTTGACCATCCGAGGGACAAAAGTTCAATACATGTACATTCTATTGTCCTTAAGTTTGCAAAACAGGAAATTGAAATGAAAATTTATCTGTCTTGAGATTAACGTTTCTTCGTAAGAATTCACTATTTGGGAAAATGTCTACTTATTTAAAATAAAGTTTATCCTGGTTTTCTACATCCTTATTGAATATAACTTATTATTGTACAGGCGCCCCAATCATTGTGGTCGTTATAACAGCAGGGGCAGACTACACTGCTTATGGAACGGATAATTAGTAAGTTCCAGCACTCACATGTACAATCACACAATTTCAATTTTATACAATCGTATACAATATTTCAAACTCCATTTCAGATATATGCGTGTCCAAATTTAACACATTTAATTAAACTCGGAATATTTTACTATCCTTCTTGTCTATAGTTGCTGGTTGACGACACGAAACTGGTTCATATGGAGTTTTGCTGGGCCTGTAGCTCTAGTGCTTGTGGTAAGAAAGTTGTCAAGAGTACAAACTGCTGTACAGTAGATTTTCATTAGCAAAATTTAATTTTGTTTTTAAATTGATTTTGTTGTTTTTGGACATTTAATACTTATCAATTTTAATTGGATCTAATGGTAGAGGTTTTATTCCGTTAATAGGTCAATGCTTTGGTGCTTTTTTATTCCATGACAATGGTTTGCAGACATTCCGCTTACGTTTTTACTCAGGATCGCTCCCAGTCAGGGACATTTAGGTACATCTCTTTCTTTCTCTCGCATCCTTCATGCAGTAATTTCAAAAATGTACATTATGTAAATATTCTGACAAGTGATTTTTGTCATTCAGGGCGTGGATCCAAGGCGCGTTTGCTATCGAGGTTTTGCTTGGTTTGACTTGGGTATTTGGGTACTTTTTCATTAACAAGGAGTCGGTAGTGATGGCCTACATATTCACCATACTCAACAGTCTCCAGGGACTTTTTATCTTTATCTTCCACTGTGCCATGAACAGAAAAGTAAGGCATTTATATCTTAGTGAGAAAAAATAAAATACTTAAAACACATTTATAATATATACAAATTACAATTAAAACTACCGAAAGAAAGATAAAAGTTTAAACATAATACTAGAATTAAAATCTTTGTTTACAATTGAAGGTGAGAGGGGAATACAAAAGACTTGTACGCCTCAGCAAGCGATTACCAACTACAACTAAACCACAATCCAACTCGGTCCGAAAGCAGAGCGGCTCGTATGAATTGTACGTTCCTTCCTCGTAACAAGAAAATTGGCTGTTACAAATTTCCAAGTTATATAGTCAATGTATGAAGATTAATTAACGGTTAAAAAGTATTAGATTTTACAGTCTAAAAAAGATCTTAATGACCCCCTCCTCCCCAAATAAAAGAGAGTTGTAGTTGTCAAAGACGCACCACTGCGGAAAGAATTAACTCACGTCCCGAAACAATTTTTTTTTCTGGAGCAGTATTATAGTATTATGTAAATTGTAAATATGTTGGTTCATTTTTTGTATGAACGATTTACATTGTACATAGATATGTTTATCCTTTAAATCTGAAGGCCAGTACATGTCCATGTATTACGAGTCATTAATATACTAAAACAGTGTTTTGTCACCCCCCCCCCCCCTTATGTCGATTCGGTTGTACTATGCAATCAGTTTAGTAGTTTACGTTCTGAAGCATTGAAAGAATTATTTTACAATAATGTGAAAGTAAAGGCAAATATTCATAAAAATAATTCTTAATACTATGAAAACTATTAAATAAAGTCCCCCAATTTATCAATTTGAAATATACCTTGTTTTCTTTACTGCTCAGGGTTGTATGTTAATTACATGTGCTTGAATTGAGAATTTAAAACTGTGTTTTAAAACAAGAATGTACATAGTAGTATTTGTATATACTAGTAACTTCCCAAAGCCTTTATTATCCGATACTGGCTCCATGTTTTACGTATTTGTCGATATTTCAGTCTGTTTGTTATATGTGGGATTAGATATGAATGACGCTTCACTGCCATGTTTTATTGTTATTTGTATCTGTATGTTGTACAATTATGACTGTTTACATTTTTTTTTTATTTTATTTTTTATACAATAAATTGTTATACAAACACGTGTTTATCACGTTTTTCTGGGAAGCAGTTCTTAGAAATTAGCAGCTGCAAGGAGCAAACCAGATTTAACGCAAGATGATTCATTCTCTCTCATGAAACCTTTTTATTACCAGCTTTAATTTTTAAAAAAGATTTTCTTATTCTGTACTACTAATACACAAACTTTTTTTGAGTATTTAATAATAGTATTGTAATTTCAAATACATATATTTGAAACCTTTTTATAACTAGCTTTAATGTTTTTAAAGATTTTCTTATTCTTGACTAATACACATACATTTTTGAGTATTTAATAATAGTATTGTAATTTCAAATACATATATTTTAGTTGGTACATGTTATTGGAGAATTTATGTTTAATTTGTTTAATAATCCTCTATTGGAGTGCGTGTGATTTTTGTATATTAAAATCTTTGCAAATGCAATTTCAAATGCAAGACTTTTCTGGCGTTAAACATGAAACCTGCTACATACATGTACTGTCCTTTCTGACATAATTTATTTTATCAAATAAACTACATACCTACTCCATGGTACTTAATGCATAACAACATTTTCTATGATAGGGATTTTTTTTTTGGGGGGGGGGGGGGGATTTCATCTGTTTTAGATTCATGACCTTGTTCACAAATTGCATTAGAACTGAAATTAACTATATGTTATCTCTATTTTTTTTATTTAGTCTTCTTAAATTATGGTTAGCAATGACACAAATAGAAGCTCAAAGACTTATTATAAATGTTTATTTCCAATTCTAAATATCACATTGCATCAGACTTATTCTAAAAACTGGAAGGAAAAACTCCTACAACTACATTTTTTGTAAATTCATGTTTCAATCAAGTATTGTACAATCAACAAAACCTCTCTCTCTCTCTCTCTCTCTCTCTCTCTCTTAGAACAAAAACATTCTGTATTTTGAATATGACTAGAAAACACTCGCATCCATTCATATATGAATTATGATACATATATGACAATCATAAATAAACTAATAATTTAAATTACTAGATGGAAAAATTGGTGAAGATGCAATGTACAATGAAAATCAAGTTACACACAAAAAATAAACAAGAAAAAACACATGTGAATGATGACAAAATTAAAGTTAATTGAACGTCATGAATATGAATATTTTTGATATTATGATCACCAAGATAGAGACATCACAGATATGGGACAAACTGATATTAAACCAGCTAAACATACAACTTGCAACACGGGTACTAGTTAAAGAGAACCAGTGTAACACTCAATAAAACCAGCACTCATTAAACAAGAAAATACAGGTCCTGATTATAAGCCTTGAGACTGTTTGTTTAAAAAAAAGCATATATAAAATTTAATTGCAATCATTTCTTATAATAAAGGTATAGCAATGATTAAGAACCAGACCTGGTTTTAAATTAAGGGCCAGCCAGAATCCCATTGCCAGAGCAAAGGATAAAGACTTGTACATTAAGTCACTCTCCTCCTGCTGACAACTCTTCATGGCAGCAGACTGGAACCAGACAACAGTCTACTGCCTACAGGCTTACAGGAATATCAGACAACAACCCTCCAAGGATTTTGTTGTTTTTAGGATATGAACAGCAGAATGCACATAATAATTGTCACAGTTACTGTAATTAGAATATGGGAACCAAATATGGCCTTCTTCACTTTGCTGTACTGTAAAAATAAATACAATGTACATTAAAATCTGCATTTAAAGAATATAAAAGAATTATTCAAATCAATTCAAAGGAGCAATTAATAGACTACATATTCACAATATGGACCATTCATGCAGGATGTTCACTATGACTTCATTATAGGTAATCAGTCAGTTTAATTTTGTATATTTGTGTAGCTACTTTAGTTTCCTAAAGAGTCCTTTATTTTTTTGTAATGAGATAAAAATATATGCTTCTGATATGAGGTTGAGTGATTATAAGCCTATACTTCAGGTAGCAGATAATCTGGGGTTACTGCGTCCACTCAAATGACCAGAAAACAATGAAGGAGGAAACTTAGTGAGTACATGTACTAGATAATTACCGGTGGCTCAACGTCCAGGGAGTGATTCACGCTGGAGTAGTGGGGCTTTCTGTGCATTTCATAAATATATGTCTGATCCCTCTTATGTTCTGTAATATAGTAGGAGAATAATTTATGTATAGATCTCTTGATTACAACATACACATATAGAATTCATGTCGTATGTTGTTGAGTCATTGCGTATAGTCGTGAGTCAAAATTAAGAATAGAATTTAAAATTAATAAATCCACATGAAATCAGACAAACAGTTTCCTAACTGACCTGCTCTTTTAGAAATAAAGCTGTGAACTTCCAAAATGAAGAATACAATAAACAGGTAGCACACATATGCTATCAGAATGTAGCTAATGTAGAAGGGGGCTCTAGCTTTGGCTAACTCCACACCAGCAAATATTGTCACAACTGAAAAACAAAATGTTCACATTATACTTTTGAACAAATTTCAGTTATCATCAAGAATAGGCAACACAATACAAAGTATGTTTATGTACAGAAATTATATAACTTACTTGCTAAGAAATGGGCACCCGTGCCAACTGCCCAGTGAATCCAATTGAATATTTTTCTCTTTACAGTGCCAGGAAGGGGCCTCAGAATGGCTATTATGGGCTGAAATTGTAATAAGTCATAAACATGTACTTTCTTTTGAAGGGAGGCTTACAGAAATTTTTTTCACAAATTTTACTTTTTATTCTTAAACTTTTAAAATGGTTCAAACAAAAACAACATTCCAAGTAAAGCTGACTTACATTTGCAATAGTAAAGAGTGTGACTATAAGTCCCATAATAGGGTGAGCCTGATGAAAGGTTTTGCCATCAATCTGAAAAAAAAAACATACCATTTAATACGGTAATAGAAAGCAATTACTTTGGAATTTTAGGAGACAGTTGTCCAAATAAAAATGCTCTGTTAATTTAGCCACCGAAAAGTTTAAAATTGTATACTTTATAATAATGCTTTAAGTTTACACTTTTGCACAGTAAAAATTAAGACCTTATTGACTTAATTAATTCTTACCTGACTATACCCTTGTATTTCAACAAAAATCAGGATTATTCCCACCATTACACACAGAAACAGGGTTATCATACAGAATTTATGAGACTGAAAAAAAAATAATGATGATAACTATTAGGTACATGTATTTCATAAAAAACAATTTTTTTTAATTTCATTTTGCATGGTGTATTTATAACTTGGCTATAATAATTGACAGAGAGTACATCTGCATGGTTAGCCTCTAACAGTTCTGCTTTATATTAATTGCTCCATGTGAACAATTAGCTTTTGTGAATTTTTTTAGATTAGACTAATTCATTAAGTTGAAACACTTTATACTTTATAATAACTTCAAAAGTATATTTGTCAAGAAATATAATCTTGTTCTTTTTCATTCTTATTATGAACAAAAATCATTTTAACACCCCTCCTTCCAAACTAAGAGTATTGGTTGAAAATACTCCCCGTTGCTTTAATTTTTTAACCAATTTTGTAAAGAATTTATAATACATATCATAAAGTAACTTTTAAACTCTTAAAAGACAGATTTATGGAAGGAAAAACAAAGCAGATCTTAGTTCTCAGCTATTTTAAGGTTATGAACTAGATTGAGGCCTGTTGGCAGTGTAGCTCACCTGGTACCAGATTCTCTCCCTCATACAAGTCTCCTCCAGCCACACAGTCTTATAGTACCGTACAGCAATGATTCCAATACTGGCTAGACAGACCCAGGCAATGACCATCAAACAACCTGGTCAAGAGAAGAATTTAGTTTATGATTGTTTAGCAGAGATGGACTAACACACTCAAATAACTAATTATAGGGGTGTATTTAGTGGATGCAGAGAGAGGGATTTAGGACCTTCTGCACATTCTCCTATCACACAAAGTTTGGTTTTTTTATCCCACTTTATCCCCCCTCTCTCTCTCTCTCTCTGGTAATCTACAGAGAATACTGTGATTTTTTTTTACTGACATTTGTTCATATACATAAAAAAGTATCAATGGTCATTAACTGGTAACAGTTAATTCTAGGGGGAAAATGTAACTCAGCAACAGTATTAACAAAATGAATTTTCTTACGAAAAGCTCTTTTATCTATTATTGTTCATGATTTAACATACCATGAACTTTGACCAGGAAATATACAGCCTTTCCCTGTATGTTGCTGTGTTTCTGGAGATCTACAGGTTCTGAGGAAACAATGGGGAGATCCCTTAAACTGTGTCTCCTCTTCTCACCTGTATCATGTAATGATCATTGATTAATAAATTGTCTATAAGTGTTTTGTACTAAACATATCTATAATGCTATAAAAATTACATTTTGGTCACTTGATGTATGCCTGACCAGAGGTACAAGATACAAATAATTATATAAGTATCAATTGCAGAAAAAGAATTCTTGTGTGATAATTATTGGTACACACCCTGTGAGGCCTCTCCATAAGCAAAAAACATGTAGTAATCATTGTTCAAGTCAAAGATTTGCTTCTCATCAGGAAGATGCTTCTTTCTGGAGAATTGGCAGATCATCATCCCATCCACATAGCTTCCTGAAACATCACTCAGTCCCAAACCACTCTGTGAATAAAGCAGTTAATTAACACATGGGGGTGAAAACTTAAGATGGTATAAGTTTTCCTGATCGAATTCTGGATTTCCTTAAAAATGAGGAAAGAATGATATGAATGGTTAGATGGATAAATACCTGTTTTAGTCTTGTGTTTGATTTAGTGACATCATTAAATGACTGATGGACCACAATAAAACCCTCCTGTCTCACACACTCAGTCACACTATCATCACCCTGTAACAGAACAATAACTCCATGGGTGTGTATCATTACTGCTACATTTTCAAATTTTTCATTACCGCTACATCGTCATTACCGCTACAAAAAACCTTACGTTACCGCTACATAAAAAGTATATATTACTGCTACATTGAATCTTTCGTTAGCCAGCCACTTATGCGTGTACAGTACAACCTATAATACATGTACATGCATAAGACTCGTTTCCCCTGCTCACCATGGGGAGGTGAAAGAAGGACTATGAACAGTATGTTTTTTTTTTTTATATTAAAATCAACCAATAATTTGCAAATCTTTTCAACGCATCTCCACAATTTTTTATGAAAGTCATATTTTCTAAATTTATATATATCGGATTTTTGTAACAAACACCTCAATGGTCATAATATCTAAATATTTAAATTTCACTGCAGAGTTATTATATATATATTATATTTGCTTATTCAGTATGTAGCGGAAATCGGAAAAATGTAGCGGTAATAACAATGACAAAATGTGGCTGTTTATAAGGTTGTTGATTCCCAACTCCATGTATTTATTTCTTCTTATATAGGGGGTGGGTGGAATTTCTTTAAAGAGCTCTTTTCTATGCAGTATTATTGAACTTTCTAGATTATATATCGATTTTAAAGTCAAATATCATCATGAATTATATATATATTATATTTGCATCAAGAAATCACATTAACAATTCATTTATAAGGTTTGATTAATAATAATAGACAGTATGAGAAACAATTAATCTCAAAGATCAACATACAAGCTTATTTTTCCTTAGTATCCACAATAATCTCTATTATATACATCACATTTTGAGGTTTACTTTACTTTAGCTAAGAATTACCTCCCTTGATACAGAATATATAATTTATTTACTATATCATTAGAGTTATCTTTTGATAATTAATTATTTTAACATGCAGTATGAACATGACAGAAAATTACTTAAGGTCAAAATCTAGTAAATGAAAGGTGCCTACAGATTTATCAAATTTGAGAAATAAATTCCTTTATTGATGCTTTAAAACTTTAGCTTGGTCAAATAAGGTGTTTCCGGACATAATTTGTAGGTAAACAAGATGAAAAACTGTATTTTAAACTGCCATTTTCAATGAAAAATTAAGAAAACCGATCATAAATATGGGAGTTTTTATCATATTCGACAAAGGAAATGTATCCAGATTGCCTACAGTCTCTCAGAAAACGGTAGTTAGTATGTTCATGGCCTCTTCTTTAAATCAATATCAAATTTAATATAGGTATCCGGTTTACTTTTCATATGATTTGAAATTGAATGTCACGAAAATACTCTTTTTTCTACATAATTCTGCTGAAGCCGTAAAGTACGGGAAAAAGAAAGTTGAAATTCATGATTATGACGTCACAATAGATCTAGCACCAAAACATTAGTCTAAAGTCATTTACTAGATCTTGACCTTAACATGCAAACACCCTGAAGTTAAGATACCATCACCGATTATATATTTATTTCCTCGGGGTAAATATTATACAGTGTGTGTAACATTATATGTAGGAATTTAACATGCAACAGGAAGAGAGAAATTTCATTCCTATGGTCAACACCATGATTAGGACATTAGGATCCTTGAAATTAAATAACAATTACTGCTTTTTAATCTGTTTGAGATACTCTAGTCTAATTGGGAAAAAAAATGAAACATCAAATTTGATATTTCATATAGTGCTAGTGCTTTCGGAATGAAACATTAAAATTAATGATCTCATAGTATTGGCAATAAAAAGTATAATATTTAAAAAAAAAAATAACATAACTACTTCTTATTTTTTTTTCTTATATTTTTTAATGGTCAAGGAATTTTTCCTTGGAAGTACCCCCTAACCCCCCCCCCCATTGTATGGTACCAGTTGTGCCTCCCAAACTAATGTGGCTCCCTTATGACCTTCATATATATCTAAATTTATTTGTATACCTAAACAAGAGGCCCATGGGCCACATCGCTCACCTGAGAAGCTTTGACCATTCTGTTCTTTTCCAGATTTCCCCTTTGTTATACATAATGCATCCCCACCCTACCCCACTGATCATAATTTAGACATTTTGAAATCTACACTACCCCATGATCCTTCCATGGGCACATATGTTTCAGCTTTTTTGGCCCAGTGGTTCCTGAGAAGAAGATTTTCAAAGATTTTTCCTTTATATTTCTATGTAAAACTTTCATTCCCTATAATGTCCCCACCCTTCCCCCGGGGGTCATTATTTGAACAATCTAGAATCTACATTATACCAGAATGCTTCCACATAAGTTTCAGCTTTTCTGGCCCTGTGGTTCTTGAGAAGAAGATTTTCAAAGATTTTTCCTACATATTTCTATGTAAAACTTTGATTCCCCACTGTGGCCCCGCCCTTCCCCCGGGGGTCATGATGTGAACAATTTAGAATCTACACTATACCAGGATGCTTCCACATAAGTTTCAGCTTTTCTGGCCCAGTGGTTCTTGAGAAGAAGATTTTCAAAGATTTTTCCTATATATTTCTATGTAAAACTTTCATTCCCTATAATGGCCCCGCCCTTCCCCCGGGGGTCATGATTCCTACACTTTAGAATTTACAATACCCCAGAATGCCTCTACATAAGCTTCACTTTTTCTGGCCCAGTGGTTCTTGAGAAGAAGATTTTCAAAGATTTTTCCTATATATTTCTATATAAAACTTTGATTCCCTATAATGTCCCCACCCTTCCCCCAGGGGTCATTATTTGAACAATTTAGAATCTACATTATACAAGGATGCTTCCACATAAGTTTCAGCATTTCTGGCCCTGTGGTTCTTGAGAAGAAGATTTTCAAAGATTTTTCCTATATATTTCTATATAAAACTTTGATTCCCCATTGTGGCCCTGCCCTTCCATTTATAGGGGTCATTATTTGAACAATTTAGAATCTACATTATACCAGAATGCTTCCACATAAGTTTCAGCTTTTCTGGCCCTGTGGTTCTTGAGAAGAAGATTTTCAAAGATTTTTCCTACATATTTCTATGTAAAACTTTCATTCCCTATAATGGCCCCGCCCTTCCCCCGGGGGTATGATTTTACACTTTAGAATTTACAATACCCCAGAATGCTTCCACATAAGCTTCAATTTTTCTGGCCCAGTGGTTCTTGAGAAGAAGATTTTCAAAGATTTTTCCTATATATTTCTATATAAAACTTTGATTCCCCATTGTGGCCCTGCCCTTCCCCCAGAGGTCATTATTTGAACAATTTAGAATCTACATTATACCAGGATGCTTCCACATAAGTTTCAGCTTTTCTGGCACAGTGGTTCTTGAGAAGAAGATTTTCAAAGATTTTTCCCATATATTTCTATGTAAAAGTTTGATTCCCCATTGTGGCCCCGCCCTTCCCCCAGGGGTCATGATGTGAACAATTTAGAATCTACACTATACCAGGATGCTTCCACATAAGTTTCAGCATTCTGGCACAGTGGTTCTTGAGAAGAAGATTTTCAAAGATTTTTCCTATATATTTCTAATGTAAAACTTTGATTCCCCATTGTGGCCCCGCCCTTCCCCCGGGGGTCATAATTTGAACAATTTAGAATTTACACTACCCCAGGATGCTTCCACATAAGTTTCAGCTTTACTGGCCCAGTGGTTCTTGAGAAGAAGATTTTTTAATGACCCAACCCTATTTTTGTCTTTTCTTGATTATCTCCCCTTGCGAGGGGATATGTCCCTTCAGTTTAACAATTTAAATTCCCCTTCACCCAAGGATGCTTTGTACCAAGTTTGGTCAAAATTGGCCCAGTCGTTCTTGAGAAGAAGTCGAAAATGTGAAAAGTTTACAGACGGACGGACAGACAGACAGACGGACGGACGGACAGACGGACAGACGGACGACGGACAAAATGTGATCAGAAAAGCTCACTTGAGCCTTCGGCTCAGGTGAGCTAAAAATATACTTCTGAAACATTCCACAACATTTCAATTGATCTGCTGTCTTGATCTTTAATTGTCTACAATTAATCCAAATATTCTCATCCTTTTTACTGTTTTTTATTTTTTATTATGGAATTATCATTCTGTTACAGACCCATTAGTCTGTAGACTACATTGAATGACATCCTGTTTCTTATCCATGATATCAAGTTGACAAGCTATTAATTTTCCTCTATTTCCAAGCACTTCTTGAGATATATGAGTCGATGTAATAATTAAAGACATTTAAAAGACCCACAGTATTGTTTTAATATGTAGCTTACATGAACTCATCATTTCCATTTAAAAGGGAACACATTAACTATTCCTTTCAAAAAAAAAAAATCAGAATCTTTTCCTAAAGGACATTTATGCCAAGTTTGGTTAAATCCCTGTAATTATATGAAAGATGGGCAAACATTATGACAAATGTCAAGAAAAAAATTATTTGAGCTTTTTGGAAGAAAACATTTTAAAAAGAGAAAATATACAATATTTTTTTTTGTAGAATGTGTACTCATAACAGACTGCTGTAATAAATGTAATATGAATGTTATGCTTTATCTAGACCAAATTTGGCTGGTACATGACAGCTAATAATTTCTACCTGACAAAAATGGGACTATTATTACATCATGTCAATATATCAGTCACCAGTCACTGTCCAGATAACGGTTTTTATCATTAGTTAAATCGTTACATATACATGTGTATTGATTTGTAAAATGACCTCCAGCTATAAGCAAATATTTCCTGGTGACCTATGTAATGTTTAAACCTGAAATAATTTGTTTTCTAACAGGTTACTTAGATCTCATTACAATAAATTCAGTTAAGAAATCTTAGTTTAACATATTGCTTAATGATAATCCACAAAACTTTCTGTGAGATTGAGAGCAAACAGTTTTGAGTTGTGAAATTGAATAAATGCTTATAAAAGCAGAGTAACTATAATAAATAATTCATATTTAGAGAATGTATTGTTCTGTAATAAAGCAATATAACTAATGAATTTAATTAACTGAATTAAATCTTGCAATGAAATTGATGTCATGCGGTAACTACAATACATAACAAATAATTAACAATCAACATGTACAGGCAAATAACCTTTATCCTCATTTAATTTTCCATCATGCACCCTCACCTTAGTTACCAAGTCACCATTTTCTTCATGCATACACCATCAGTTGTTATATCATTGAACTAAACCATCCACCATTTTTTTCCAGTTACCATTCTTTTATCCTCTGAGAAGCCCACTGCCATCCAGTGGTCATTTGGGTCCATCGTAGAGAATTTCTTCCTCATTTCGAACTGGACATGTTCCCCAGTGTCATTCCATGTGATGATGAAGTCACACTGCCCCCCACTGCACTTGGCAAAGCATCCCTTGGTGTCCCCACACCCAAAGTCTGCCTGAAGGGTCTCATTCTGCAACACACAGAACAAGGGAATTAAAATTAATTAAGGTTCATTTCATTTATCCAAAAATTTTACAAACTAGAAATTTTTTTTGGCAACAATTTAATATTTTGGAATTATTGACCATTCTATGCTCAAAATTAAATATTGCAATAACAAATCGTAGAAAAATGAACACTCATAAAATTGCAAAAAAATTATAGTAAAAAAATCAGTAGATTCCTAAATAAAGCATTAAATATGGTACAATTTCCTGCCATATTGTTAACTATAACCAATTAAAAATTTATAAATGTGCTACATTGATTTGAACATTTAGCTCCTAACATGATAATGGGTGTGCTTGTCATGATCATGAATGGTTGTGGTTCTGATGGTGGTGGATGGGGCCTTGGTTGTGACAGGTTTCCATGTTACAGGTGGTCGCCATGGTGTGGTGGGCCTGAGAGTCACTCTTCTGGTGGTTGTGGTAGGTCTTGGAGTGGTAGTGGTTGTCGTGGTGGTAGTGGTCATCGCCGTGGTTACCGTTGTAGAGGGAGTGGTAGTGGTGCGGGGGGTGGTAGTGGTTGGCATATTAACTAAATACGCCTGGAAATTGATGGCATTCTCTGATGTTGGTGGTGCTGGGTCGTACATATGGGGAAGCTTCAATCCTAAGAGAGAATTCAAATTTACTTTCGTTTTGTAATGTTTGTTTCACATGTTCAAAAGTTACAGTAAACAATATACACAATGAATATAACAAACTTCAGCTAGTAAAAAACTGCATGCATGCAATAAAAAAAAATCAAACATGATATTTAACAAGCATCAAAACATATCTCTTTGCATTTCCTGAAAACACATATATCACATTTATAATTGGTTAAATTAGGAGTTGTCTGATTTTAGCTGTTCAATTTGTGATTTGATCAATATTTCTGTTAAAAAAAAAATTAAAACTTAAAAAATCAAAAAAAAAAATTCAACTCCTTTTGAATATGAGCCAATTACCTTGCATATCAAAATTAATGCTTGACATATGCATATACCCATAAACGATTAAACTTCAAATATATTTAATTGCAAAAAATTCCTATGCCAAGTGAATTAATTGATAAAAAATATCATACCCTGTCCTCCTCTAAAAGGATCTATAATGTATTCAACAGTAGTTAAATATAAATTAAAATCTTTGATCAATATATATATTTTTGTTCTTTCAATGCTGTATGTATCTATAAATCACTCTGAGAGCTTACCTTCAATGGCTGTTCCATGAGCATACAAGATGTACCATTGTTTGTTGAGGTTAAACAGTCTGCTCTCGGTTGGAACCAGTTTTTCCCTGGTAAATCCACAAGTAAATATACCATCCACAAAAGAACCATACTCTCTGCTTAGTCCCAGTTTGGGCTGAAAAAAAAAGAAGCCAATTTAATGAATTAAATTACTCAGAATAGTCAGAGCTAAATGTACTAAATACAAATTCGTAAAAGTTATACAAGTTCTGAGCTTTATTTAAACTTCAGGAGTAAACATTCTTACATCTCTGAGCCTTGAGTTGCTGTGAGTATCTGAGTTGTATGACTGGAAGGCACTGACTCGTCCACCAACAGACATACACTCGGTTACACTGTCACTGCCCTACAAACAAACATAACGTCACATTGTAGAGTCTTAACACTAGTTCATTAGTGTAGGTATTTAGTATGCTTTTACTTCATAGCATGAATTAAACCATCAATTGCGTGGTCATAATAAAATTCCAAGATCTACAACCTATATAGACTAGCTATATAAAATCTTTAATTAATCTACAAGCATATTTTGAAAAAATCATTGAATTGTAATTCTAATAATTGTAGATTGATTACGCAGCTAATTTTAATTTAATTCTTAAATGACATAAATTTTGATAGCATATTCGATCTACAAATAAATTGTTACAACGTTGCCATTAAGAATAAAATTAAATTCTAGCTAGTTTAGGGAACCTTACCATTTTGTTATCATAAGAGAAGCCCACTGCCACCCATCTATCTCCCCCGAGGGGGATATGTGCCCTAATCTCCATGTCAAGGTACCCCTCTCTGTCCCTCCAGGAAATGATGAACGAGCACACCCCCCTTCTGCAGTCATGGAAACAACCTTTGGTCTTGTTACAGTCCGGGTCAGGAGGTAAATAGGTACCCTGTAGTTAGAGAAAGGAAACTAAGAGGTATATTATTATGTTAAAGTTATAGATTCATCTAATCGGCCATTTCATCAACAAACTAGAATTAAAAGAATCTGCATTGAAAATCTTTAATAATATATAATTATAAAGCTATAGTGTTTTCAAGTTAACTTTATAGTTATAACAAATAAAATGATAATCAGAAATGAGCATGTATTACAATTTAGTACTACAATATTTCTATAATACTATGTGCACCCAATTCACTTGATTGGTGACCTAGCTTTTTTTTCCTTATAGAATTTTACTTATACATGTACTAGCTGAAAATCAACTGCAAATTACTCAAATAGCTCCCAGTCAATGAAAGAGGACTTAATGGTTGCCAAAGTTTCCAGTCAGCACATAAGATAAATATGGTCATTGTCAGACTTCTCTAACAAGATCACCTGACATAAGGCCAACCTATGGCTGGCTTTAATAACAGCTAGGAATGACATTTTTATCACCTTGGCTTCATAAACTGCACTTATAAATGTTAACCACACACTGCATTAAATGTCTACATATTGAGCCCACAGTGGCCCTTAGAATTGAAAGCAGTGCATGAGTTCAAAAGCTTTTTTCATGTAAAGGTCATTGAGCTGAATTAAATAATTAACTTCTGAATTAGTAATCAAATTTGTATTTTCAAATTTGACAGCTTCAGTGTTAGTTGCAAACTCTAAATTAGGCTTTCAAAATCTTTTAACTGCTAGAATTATAGTCAATTTATTTATATTATAAACAGTTTTATGAATATCAAAGAAATGAGTAAAAACACTGTAATTAAGCTTTATTGACACACCTGCCAGGGAAGAATTCATGTGCGTAAACGGTCAAAAACTGACTGATTTATCATTCTGCTCATAGGTAAACAAATGGTTGACCAAAATGTCTGCTCCAATTACCTTGCATGCAATTATTTCTGTATAATAATCATTAACAGTGCAGTGATTATTAATTGCAATCTACGTCCACACATTTGATCATCATAGAAAACTACAAATATGTGTCACAATAACAAAACAAATAAGAAGGAACCTTACTCTTTAAAGAGTACGTACAGTATCATTTATCATAAAGGTGTTTGAAGTAAATAAAAAAAAAATTAATAAATAAATTTCTTTGAGAAAACCAAAAATAAAACTGTGATTTAATGTAAAAATTACTTGAGGAGGTGTAAAGGGTTCTGTTGTTGGTTTTGGTGTAGTTGTTGTTGGTTTCGTTGTAGTTGTCATTGGTTTTGGTGTTGTTGTTGTTGGCTTCATTGTGGTTGTTGTTGGTTTCATTGTAGTTGTCGTTGGTTGTGGTGTAGTTGTCATTGGTTTCGGTGTAGTTGTTGTTGGTTTCATTGTGGTTGTCGTTGGTTTCGGTGTAGTTGTCGTTGGTTTCGGTGTGGTTGTCGTTGGTTTCGGTGTAGTTGTTGTTGGTTCTGGTGTAGTTGTTGTTGGTTTTGGTGTAGTTGGTTTGGGGGTTGTTGTTGTGACCGTCGTTGGTGGTGGTGGTAGTGTAGATGGCTGCACAGGTTCATTACAGATAGGAGAGATGTTATTGGTCAGACTGAGGACCTGGGATTGTGCCAGTCTCACTGAACTATAAGCATCATACACAATAGGAGAATTGACAGCAACCCAAAAAGTGGTGTACTCTTGCAAAATGGTGGCCCTAAAAAATATCAGCATGATTAGACCATTTCCAAGCAACTCAGTACATGCTAAAAAGAGAGAAGAAAACTGATTTCAGCATCCAAGCAACACAGTTCATGATGCATGCATATACTTCATCTTTGAATTTCTTAATTTTTCATAATTTTTATCAATCAAATCACTAAGGAATTAAGTCAGGCAATAGTCAATAGTCTGAATTATATGATGCAAGTATGGATATAGCAGTTGTTATTACTTATTTGTAAATTCTCAGGTAAAAAATGCCACCCCCCATTAAAAAATAGCAAGGGTTTATATCTTTCTTACATTGAATGTAGAAATTTTCATTAGATCAAGCTCTGAGTTTGTGTTTTTCTATAGAAGGTAGGTTAAGGATGGATAGTTCTTCCTCAGGAAATACTCACCTAAAGACAACATGGCCTTGTGGTACTCTGGGAGCTTGCCAGACAATTCTAATCTTGGTCTTATCTTCACTTGATGTGTGTGTTAAAGCTTGTCCTCTTATTCCCTGAAATACAATATATACATGCAGTTAAAGTATACAATGACTGAGATATTTCATAGTTTCCAGTTCCCCAGGAGCAAACCTATTTACCGAGGCAAAGTTGAGAGAAATAGCTAGGCTTACTCTCCAGCAACTGGAATCTTGCTAACTCCCTCTGTGACATACATTAACTGTTTAAATGTCTTGGATAATGACTAATTCAAGAGAATGAACCTCTGTAGGCACCTTTCATTTACTAGATCTTGACCTTAATTGAGATGTTTACTAGTACGTACATTTCGACTATCGGGACACGTGTACTGATATGGGGCATTGCTGTACATGCCGAACACTCCTATCTTCACGTCCTGAGTGGAAAACTGCGCCAATCTCGGCTGAATTAAAAATCCTTTAAAAGAATATCCTTTGCAAGCCTGAATAGTCACTGAAAGTAGAAGAAATTGACAATGTTATATACCCGGGGTAATAGTCTACATTTAAAACATAGAAAATGGTACATAAATTTGTGTCATGTGTCTTATAAACAAATTGATTTCAATGAATATTATCTGTTTTGTTGTTCTATCCATTTTCTTGTTTAATTATATTTTTTACTCACACCCACCTATTTTTGACTCTATACGTACATAGGCGTCGAAAGAAAATTGAGTTAGGGGGTTACCCCCTTCCCTAAAGGTAAGACCCAATTTTCAATGCTTATATGTATATCTTTTTTTAAAAGAAGGGTGCTAAACCCTCCCCCTCCCAGCCTACGCTTAAGATCTACCCTCCTCGTAAGGTCTAGTGATACGCTATTCTCCTCATAATGAGGAGAGTGGTGTATCAGAAACCCTTAGCAAGCGAAGATGGCGCTTATTCTGTTTTCTTTTAAATGCAATCATCATTTTCTGTACGGTTGGGGCGGGGAGTTAATTTGACTTGATAAATGCGAAACTTTCAATTTACATATAAAGCTATTTTGACTTACCTACAACTTGCTCCAGAGGGCGGTATGACGTTTTGGACACGGTGATTACGTAAGGGACTGGGTTTGTTTGTGGTTGGTTGGCACTATGCCAGGGGGTGAGGGAGGAGCAGGCCTGAGCCCCCGCGCCCTGACTGTAAGCACTCACTGATGACGTCATAAACACTAGTATAGTTAACAGGCAGACGAAGGACAACCTGCATCTCCGACGTTTCATTCTTCATATGTCAATGTACAGTCTTCAGAAATTATTGGAAAAAATCTGCAACGAAATTTATGAGGAAATGCAAAATATTGGCTGAAACGGTTGTACATTTTGAGAATAAAAGCGAAACTTCAAAAGGTTGAAGACACGACCAACTTTGTTTACTGATGTACTATTCTAAGTTTTAATTGTCATAACGACAATTTTGGACCCCCCACCCCACACACACACAAAGAAAGAAAACCTCTGCATGGCTCCAGCTAGATCTGGGTCTCGAAAAAAGTACGTGTGTTTGTAATCTGGATCAACTTTTGTATTTAGAGATTGGTGTAACCCTTTATTATGTATGCAGATAATTACTAGTATATTATTTTCAGTTACTTTGTAATTAAATAAATGTAACTGGTTTGCTTGATAACACATAAATTTGAGTATATTGAATCCAGTTTCTTAAAAAAAACAGAGAAAGTCTGAAGATGTCGTTATAATCTTTAAAAAAATTGTGAAAAGGTGAATTTGTGTGTCTTTTGTTTTCTTTTTTATTCCAAAGAAAATAATTTAACAAATGTATAATCCTTTGATTCGGTCAATACATAAATAAAGACTTCCCAGATAAAAAAGAAGACTGATCTCGTACTTCGTGCTCAGTTATCGTAGGTGATAAATCTAATTATTGCACTGATACTTCCGAATGTTCGATGACCCATCGATTGATTGGTGAGTTGATTACCTGTTGTAGGAGTAGCCCCTATACTGACGACAACTGTATAAGTTTACACCTTTGGTAATACAATGTATTATGCGTTACCATCAGCACAATC